GGAGAGGGCAGGGAGCCCCCAGGAGCCCGCCTCGGGTGGGGACCTCCGCGGGGAGAGCCGGAGCCGGAGAGGAAGCACAGGGCAGCCTGAGGCCCAGCCCGGGCTCAGTCTGGACCCGGGCTACCGAATCTCCCCGGGCGCTGCCCAGAGTGGCCGAGGGGCCACAGGGGAGCGGCAGGGCCCGCCTTCCCCGGGTCTGTGAGGAAGCCCTCTGGCCACCCACAGGCCCACCCTCTGGGACCTGGTTGAGGTCTCCCAGAGTCCCCGTCGTTCTGCCCTAGGTGCTGGATAAATCCGTGCTGCTCTGGGCTGCAGGGAGCAGGCCATGCACCTACTAAGCACCTGCTGTGTGCCCTACTCAGGTTAGGAAAGGAGTGCTTCCTTGATGCCCTTCCTAGGCTACATGCCCAGGCTCCATGGCCCTGGAGACCCTGGGCTTCTCAGAGAGAGGGTCAGAGACCTACTCAACCTGCTTCTACCTCTGCCCACAGTTAACCGAGACTCACTCCCCAGGGGCTGTGTTTTCTGACAGGAGAAGAAAAAGACATGACCAAGATTTAATCTCTCCACTATATAAAGAGCACCAGAAACTCAATGACAACACCAAGTCGACAGTATCATCATTCATGAGTCCTCACAGACTGTTGTCCAAAGACAGGGAAATCCATTCAGACCCTTGTGGGAAGACCCTTCAGGGTCCAGTCCAGCAGTTCTGTGCCAGACCCTCTGCTCTGCAGCCCCAGACAAGCTGGCTCCCCTTTCTGGTGAGTTCAGGAACCTGCTCCTCAGGGTGCCAGGAGCTTCTTTCTGGGAGTCAATAGAGCACAGTTATTTGTTTTAAAACTGCTGTCAAAGGAGAAGGAAGTGGGCTGGGGATGGGGCTCAAGCAGTGGCGCTCTCGCCTGGCATGCGTGCGGCCCGGGTTCAATCCTCAGCACCACATACCAACAAAGATGTTGAGTCCGCCGAGAACTAAAAAATAAATATTAAAAATTCATTCTCTCTCTCTCTCTCTCTCTCTCTCTCTCTCTCTCTCTCTCTCTCTCCTCTCTCATTC